TTTCCCTTCCACTCTATAACTTGGAAACTTGGTATACTTACACATCTTGGGGAGAAGGTGCGCAGCGTACCAAAACCAGGTCACTACGACCTTTATTTGACCTTTACCTTGACCTTGATCATATTTCTCTTTCGCTCTATAACTCGGCCCCTAATTGACCTAGCGCTATCAAACTTGGTATACTTACACATCTTGGGGAGAATGTGTGTCGCGTACCAAAACAAGGTCACTGCGGCTTTTATTTGACCTTGACCTTGATCATATTTCCCTTCCACTCTATAACTCGGCCCCTGATTGACCTAGCGCGACCAAACTTGGTATACTTACACATCTTGGGGAGAAGGTGTGTCGCATACCGAAACCAGGTCACTGCAACCTTTATTTGACCTTGACCTTGACCTTGACCTTGACCTTGACCTTTATCATATTTTCCTTCTGCTCTATAACTCCGCCCCTAATTGACCTAGCAGGACCAAACTACGTATACTTCTTGGCGAGAACACGGGGGATACATGTAGTTGGTGACAACTGCCCTTTCTAGTTTGATTTGGACGTGTACCCTGTTGTCGTTCACACATATTTCTGTAATAAATTTGTTCAGCATGTAATGTATGTTTTTGCAGGTTGGTACAGTGTGGTGCAACTGCTGGCTGGTCAGGGACCTTAACATGCCTTTTGGAGGGATCAAGGCAACTGGAAATAGTTTTGATGGCTTGAATGAATCATTTGAATTTTACACGGAACCGAAATCCATTTATGTAAAGGTCTATGAATGAGAAATGCATTCGCAGATATCAACAGTATGTGGCGCGGTTATATAGGTTTATGCCCGGTTGGCCTACTCCAATTACACCTACTGTGAAATTCACATTTCGTCTATACTCTATAGTAAAACCCCCAGTTAGTCTACACCCATTTCGCCTACTCCCAATTTGTCTACACTAAAAATCTACCCCATTCCCATTTTGTCTACTATCAATTTGTCCACTAAATCATTTATAAGTGTAACTATGGTTTTGATTGACATACATGGACTACAGGAACCAAAAGAAGACACAAATAATGAGAATATAACTTGACAAAAATAGAAAATACGGTGTAGGAATGTACCAAATTCTAACTTAGTCTACTCTCAAATTGTCTAATAAATAGACATATATACATGTCAAATGCAGGGCTGACAAGCCTCATGCTTTTGGCATGAGACTTACGGAATTCACCACAATCTCACGCTCTCACGCACATTTCTGATAGTCCCCGAAAATCTCACGCAATAAGCCAGTTCATAGTTACAGTCTGTGCGCGAACTTAGCCACGAATTCTTTCGGGTCAGGTCATTTGTGACAAAATATTTCGTATTTCGATCGTACGGTGCACAAACGCATGCATCTGTGTCGTTGTAATGCTACAGTCTTCGCGTGTGCACGTACACGTGCGTGCGTGCGTGCGTGCGTGCGTGTGCACATACAAGTGCGTGTGTGCGTGCGTGTGCACGTACACGTGCGTGTGTGCGTGCGTGTGCACGTACACATGCGTGCGTGCGTGCATATGCACGTACACGTGCGTGCGTGTGTGTGAGCGTGCGTGCGTGCGAGCGTGCGTGCGTGTGCACGTACATGTGTGTGCGTGGGCACGTACACGTGGGTGCGTGCATGCGTACGTCTGCACGTACACGTGTGTGCGTGCGTGCGTGCGTGCGCACGTACACGTGTGTGCGTGCGTGTGCACGTACACGTGCGCGCGTGTGCACGTACGCGTGCGTGCGTGCGTGTGCACGTACACATGCGTGCGTGCGTGTGCACGTATACACATGCGTGCGTGCGTGCGTGCGTGTGCACGTACACGTCCGTGCGTGCGGGCGTGCGCACGTACACGTGCTTGCGTGCGTGTGCACGTACACGCGCGGGCATGCGTGCGTGTGCACGTACACGTGCGTGTGTGCGTGCGTGTGCACGTACACGTGCGCGCGTGTGCACGTACACGTGCGTGCGTTTGCACGTACACATGCGTGCGTACGTGTGCACGTATACACATGCGTGCGTGCGTGTGCACGTAAGAGTGCGTAACACACCTTTGAGTAGACAAAATGGGAGTAGGCGAAATGCGAATATCACCTATTCCGAGAGTAGACGAAATGGGAAGTAGGCGAAATGGGAATATCACCCATTCCAAAAGTAGACTAAATGGGAGTAGGCGAAATGGGAATATCACCCATTCCGAGAGTAGGCGAAATGGGAATATCACCCATTCCGAGAGTAGATGAAATGGGAAGTAGGCGAAATGGGGATATCACCCATTCCGAGAGTAGACGAAATGGGAATATCACCCATTCCGAGAGTAGACGAAATGGGAAGTAGGCGAAATGGGGATATCACCCATTCCGAGAGTAGACAAAATGGAAGTAGGCGAAATGGGGTGGGACATCCAACCGGGATGTTACCTGTGGTGCTTCCTGTCTGGTAAGGAATCTGCTGCTACCATGGTGTGTGATAGAATGGGCATCAAGTTATATCGATTTCATATTTATGCCCAAATTTATCATTGGGTTGATGACTTTACTCTAAAAATACAAATTAAGTGTGCAAATTCTTCCATGTTTTACTAGAAATACGTGATAGTGACATTGAATGTCTACATACTGTTTCATCTTAATGGGGAGACTAATAATATGTGTTTCATCAGTAGCAGATCAGTGGACAAATGTGCCTCTTAATGGTAACGGAATTAAAGAATTTCCTACAACTGAATACATCAAACTACGTATTCTTGGTAACTATGGCTATACATCGACTTATAGATTGTCTGACTTGTGCTTGGAATCTTTCAACAGAATACTCGATTTAAAAAAGAAGAAGTATGGAACACTGATTTCAGATAACTATCACTTAATTAAATCATACTAGGACGACATCACAAATGATGGAGATCTGTAACACAGAACATGAAAACTTATTAAACTGAAGCGCAGAACATGTGGCTAAACAAACTAAACTGAACTGGTACAGTCACAGTACATTATTCACTATTTTTTCCCACTGATGTATTATTTTTTTACGCCGATGCTAAACAATGAAATTTGAGAAAAATGTTAAAGCTAAAATTATATTGTTGCTGGCATTCCAGTTAAAAAGGATACTAAAACATAAAAATATTATAAATTAATACGAAAAGTCAGCGTAATTACGAAAAACTTTCATGCTTTTATCAATGTTCCTCGATTTGTTTCTGTTTTCAATATATGCGTACTAGTTAGTATTATATAGTTTTAATTTTTGTGCGTGTGATATGGTTGTTGATTATGTAACGTGGAACTGTATGTGGTATGTGTGAATTACGCATTATATACATTTCAATGGATCTATTACAAATTTTCACTGTAATATGTTACTATAGATCGCCATTATATTATTTTCAAGAGAATGGGTTAGCAGTACCGAACGTCTATATTCTATAGCATAGATCGGTTGATTGTGTTAGGTATAAGGTCTACTTGGGCCTATAGTTACCCCTAATGGCAGGACTTTCAAATTAATTAACAATGAAGGGGCGTTAATAAGAAACGTTGGGTGGTCCGCATAGATGGACATATATTATATAAATAACTTGTGAGAAATTGACATTTTTGTACATTTATTCTCTACATATAAATATGTCTATAATATATTTTTTTTTCGCTTGTGAGTAAAATTATTCAAATATGCCTGTGTAAAAGGGTACCTGTCTATATTCATACGGGTCGCCGGGTCGTTGGTCCTACGGTTAATAGTAAGAGGGGTAGAGAGTGAGAGTGTACTTTGCAAAATCAACTGTTTTATTACCATAATGCACAAAAACCAACAAAGAAGACGGACTCAATGCAAAATGAACTTTATTTAAATTTGTTATTTAATAGCGTTTACTAAAAACGTTTTCTAATAAAGTTAGATTTTAGTTATTGAAAAACGTTTGCCAAAATCGTTTTATTAACGTTCACTAAACGTTGATAGTAAAGTTTCATGTCGGTTCTTAACAGACTTGCTAAAAACGTTTTGTACGCCACTACGTAACATTTAAAATAAGGTTGTGAAATGGTTTCATAAAAACGTTGAAAACCAACGTTTATTTACTGTTCGCATTACCAAGACTATGTTTAGGTTCGTTTACTAAATTATCATTGAACATTTTTTTATAGTAATTACGTTGGTCGATCAAAAATGCTGTATATGAAAGTTTCATTGTAGTAGCATTTTTTAGTATCTAGCATGAAATGATTATCAACAGTGAGTTACTCTAAAAAGCGTTTTTTTTTTACAAACGTGCACTATAGCCATGCATTTGTTAATATGTTATATACGATGTTATATACCAACGCTTTATAGGTATTTTACGTTTAACCATGTACGCGCATGTATCAATTTATTTCTTATTACTGCTGCTGAAGGGGTTGAATAGCGATTGGATGATTGGTTGAAATATCGTGCCTGAGTGTGTGCCTGCGTGTGTGCCCGCGTGCGTGCCTGCATGTGTGCGTGCGTAGGACCAATGACCCGTAGGACTATAGAACGGCAATCGTTTAAAATTAGTTACCAAAAATTATGATTTGGTATGATTTGGTATGTTTTCCCCACTGACATTAGTCCTGTTCCGACATGAAAAAGTGACTGTACTCGGAAACATGTGCAGTGGAAACCTGTACTTATATTATGTATGGTACCTGTTAGATAATTTTGAACTATGCCATGATCTTACGCAGTACTCGATAGCTTATAAATCTCCATTGGCATTTGCTTTGAGATATTTTGTTGTTTACACGACTGGGTGCATTGGTATAGTTTGGTTGGTGGCTAATTTAATAAACATATACTAAACCTTCATTGCCCAGTGTTGCTTCAGTTACTTCATTTGTTTATGTTAGTAATGCGGATGCATCACCTGCGAATTTTATTTTGATACGAAATTTATATTGAATCCATACATGGCAACTTTGGGAAATGGCAGGGAACATTTACCGAACGGAGATTTAGTGAAGCGCGGCCCATGAGAGGGTGGGGTCAAGGGGGCAGTATATCCCACACACACCAGGGTACATACTATCAGGAATGTATAATAATAGATATTAAATAATAATCGGTCTATTATTCTTCACTCCTGATAATATTACATCGTCAATAGCCAATCGCGAAAAGCCCACGGTCAACTACCAAGAACAAACCGCTTGTGGTTTTGCCCCTATAGGCAAAATAAGTTAACTACGCCCTTGAAATCGTTATGAGTTTTCGGCAGTACGGTTCGTTGAAAATACGACAGGACCGGAAACTCCATGGACCTGACACATAGTCGCAGCAACGCAGAGTGAAGTCGAACACACAGCTAAGTCAATACTAACTCAAAACTAGAGTCAATAGAAAACCGTTTTATTTGGTGAATATGCAGGATGTTTGCATTTTAAACTCACGACGTAAACCTCACGAACTGGAATCAGCCTAATGTTCCCAACAAGTACAATGCGGGAACCGGATTTATTTATGAACCGGAAAATATCGGATGAATTTTTCTTGATTTGGAAAGAGAAATCAAGCGGGACGCGGGAAAGCCGCAATTGCAACGGAGAGGCGGAAAATTGTTTAACCGTGGAATCTGGGAATGGACCCACCCTGCCCCTTTCCTCGTGATGGGTTGAAGCACATAACATATATATATATATATGTGTGTGTGTGTGTGTGTGTGTGTGTGTGTGTGTGTGTGTGTGTGTGTGTGTGTGTGTGTGTGTGTGTGTGTGTGTGTGTGTGTGTGTGTGTGTGTGTGTAGTATGTGTGTGTGTCGTGTGTGTGTGTGTGTGTGTGTGTGTGTGTGTGTGTGTGTGTGTCTGTGTGTCTGTGTGTATGTGTGTGTGTGCGTGCGCGTGTGTGTGTGTGTGAGAGAGAGAGAGAGGGGAGCAAATAAGCGAGAGCGAACGCCCATGCGAGCGATGGAGAGGGAGAGAGAGAAAGAGAGAGCGAAAGAAAGAAAGGGAGATATAATGAGAGCGTCAGTTAGAGAGTATATGTGTGTACATAGCCGGTACGTCTACGTCGCGTGTCGACCGACACTCCTACACGCTTTCACGAAGCGTTAATACATTTCCCCCCGAGTTTTCCACCACACAGCGATGACTCACTCTCGACGAATTCTTCAATATAGACGCCGTCGACGGCAAATAAAGTCGACGCGACAACCTCCGCAGGCGATGCAGCGACGATGATCGCCCGCGCGCGTTTCCGACAGGCCGAGAAAACCCGATTGTATATCCCATCGCCATCCCGTTTATTTTCCCCCTCTACTCCTCTTTCCTTTAACTATTTAAGGGGCCCGCGCTGCGTCAGTCCGTTTTATGTTTTGGCGGGAGGGGGGGAATTGTTTTCGAAAAGCTCGTTTTGAGTTGTCATCTAGATGCAGTGAATGGCGAGATCTTCGAGTGGGAAATGTATACACGCCGTGCCGTTCACGCGTCAACACTCATTGCCGCAGTGGCGAGAGCAGCAGCAGTAGCAGTAGCAGTAGCAGTAGCAGTAGTAGCAACAGCAGCAGTAGCAACAGCAGCAGCAGCAGTAGCGGTAGCAGTAGCAGTAGTAGCAGCAGCAGTGGCAGAAGTCGCAGCAGCAGCGACTGCTGGCTGCTGCTGCTACTGCTGCTGTTGCTACTACTGCTGCGGCTGCTGCTCCTGCTGCTACAGCTGCTGCTACTGCTGCCACTGCTGCTAATGCTGCGGCTGCTGCTCC